TAATGCTCAATGTGGAGCAGGGATGTTTAGCTTGCATTTTCTTGTTCATTCTTTTGTGACTCAGATAAATGCCTGTAATGCATCTCTCTGGTGCTCTCTCCCTTTCTATGACTTGACCATGATGTTATTCACTATGGTAGATTAATAGCTTTCTTGCTCTCCACAAAAATGAAGAAATTGCATAGCTTCAATTTCTTCATATGTATGTAGATCATATAAGCCAACATCCAGAATATAGGATGAGCCATGCCTGTTTCTAGGTACTTCTGTTTCAAATCAATTCCCAATACATTTGCCCTTCAATCTTTAAAAATGGAAAGTGTGGAGAAAAAATGGAAATTCATATTTTTACCAATAAAAAAGCAATTAAACAAACCCAGGATCTCTAGTAATTCCAAAATTCCATTAAATATTTTACAGAGATAGCAATTGCTTCAAATTTCAGTCACCCTAGGTTCAGTATCAGTCACCCATTGTAACACATTGTTACTCGACCTTGGCAAATTTAAGAGGAGTAGAATGCTGGGAGTTGAATCTCATTCCTCTTAAAGCCCTCTTAAATTTGCCAACATTGAGAAACCCTGCCCTATGACCACTTAAGATTCTAGAAGTTTCCAAGCACTGTTTAGCAAATAGCCAGATCTGAATATCTTTCAATTTCCCAGAATATTTAGAAGGAAACTAAAATCCCAGATCTCCATGAGTGCAATGTTGATGCTAAGTATGCTCAAGAAGTTCTGCCATAAAATAGGGCTCACTCAAATAATCCAATCCAGAGCATTTGAGCAGAACAGAACAAAATGGAATAACAGAGTTGGAAGGGATGTAGGAAGTCTTCTAGTAGTCCAACCTCCTGCATAAGACCCTATAACAGGGGTAGGCAACCTTGGCTCTTTTATGACTCATGGACTTCAACTCCCATGAGTCATAAAAGAGCCAAGGTTGCCTACCCCTGCCCTGTAACATTCTGGACAAATGGCTGTACAGTCTCTTCTTAAAAGCCTCCAGTGATGGAGCACCCACAACTTCTGAAGGCAACCCATTCCACTGGTTCATTGTTCTCACTATCAGTAAATTTATGAGGAAATTTGCTTCTCTCCTTGATTAGTTTCCATCCATTGCTTCTTGTCCTGCCTTCTGGTGCTTTGGAAAATAGCTTGACTCCCTCTTCTTTGTGGCAGCCCCTGAGATCTTGAAACACCGCTATCATGTCATCCCCCTAGTCCTTCTTTTCATTAAACTAGACATACCCAATTCCAGTAACCGTTCTTTATATGTTTTATCCTCCAGTCCCCTAATCATCTTTTGCTCTTCTTTGCACTCTTTTTAGAGTCTCAATATTTTTTCTTACTCTACAAATTTTTCTAATTCTGCAAATATCATGTGTATCTTGCTTCCCTGATACATAGAATTACGATCAAAAGCAGCTTCCTTCACAGGCCATGCAGGATGGGTTTACAGAATCTATATTCTAACAATCTGAGGGCTGCTAAGTTAAGAAGGGCACATTTTAGAAACCCGAGTGGCAGGTCTAGATTAGATAACCATATATTGATGGCCAAAAATCAAAGATCCCACTAGTAGCTGCATATCCTTCTCTTTAATTTGGGTTTTCCCTTTCCCTATAATCACAGTATCCACTAAATATACCTTCTTACTAAAAACTACTTCTATCTGCAGAAAAGGCATTCCCATAGAACAGAAAGTCCACTAATTCAGGGTAATTACTAACAGCTACCACACCCAGGTAACTACACTGAAATTACAATGACAATTACAAACCTCTATCAGCCAAAGTAGAAGGAAAAACTATTTTGAACCTTGAGATAGTCTGAGCAAGCCATACATGAGTGAAAGTTTCTGGTTAGGAAGACGAATCAGGCATAATAATCTTTCTTTCATTATTTACACAGAACTCCCTCCAATCTCGTCTACCCAAAGGTGAATTAGTAGTAGGCAGCCTAAGACTGCTTTCTGCCAGACAAATATTGAGCCATATAATAGGTCACAAACCTACAGATTCCTCCTTCACCTCTTTCCCATGACGGATGAGGTCAGGCTAAGAGGAATCGGTGGATTTATGTCTTACTTTACAGCTCAGTCTTCAGCCGGGCTAGTTCCCTATCTCTGAATCAAATACAAATGTCTTTTCATTGCAGACTAATTATGAAGATGAAATACATTAGAAAGTATTGTTGGGTTCCCAGTCCTATAACACTCTAAGAGGCAATCTTATTTTAGAGAGCTGATCTTTCCAACTTAGGAACCTCCACATTAGAGCCACAATACATACATTCAGTTGTGCATCTGCTGAGGACACTGTTCAGTATTACTTGAATGCTCTTCCAAAATAAGAGTTAACTATAAATGTGTGGAATCTCAACATATGTGTACCAAAAGCAGCCCCCAAAGCACCATGCCAGTACTTTTGTGGTGACCTCACCACAGAACCACAAGATCTAAAAACAGCCAGGAAAGAAAACAGCAACTAGAATTAAGCTCTTACAGTATTCCACCATCAAATATTCATTTGTCCGTCACTTTTCAGGGACTACTATGTTACTTGGATCAGGCTGAGCAGAGGGCACATCTGGAAAGGCTGTTTCACATCCAGATACAAATGAAGGCGAATATACGTGTCCCAGGATAATGTTGCAGGATCCAATCTGGGTCGGTTACCAGGACCAGAGCTTTTGTATTTCAAGCTTTCGAAGTCATGCTGGAGCCCATCCTTATGGAACTTCTCTATGTGCTTTGGGCTATTCTGTGTGTGGTGTTTACCCCCAGCTTATCAAGTACTTAGGGGGTGAGGGCTTGAAGAAACAACAGCCATCAACACCACAATCTACATCTAAAAAGCTACACACAACAGGCACCATATAAATATCACATACAGAACAATCCAAAGCACATAGAGAATTCCCTGGGAATGGGCTTCAGATTGAGTCCAAAAGCTCAGAAGACAAAACCCATGGTTCTGGTGACCGACCAGATTGGATCCTGCAACATGTCTGGATAATTTGCAGCAGACTCCTTACTTCCATGGGCTTAATGCAGCAATAATAATTCTGCTCCCCACTCCCCATTATACCATTCATATGAAGAAATCTCACTTATCTTTAGCAGGAAAAGGCTGCAAAACATTTCCTAATTCTTGAACCCATGCCTTTTGCATCAAATACTTTCAGAGAAGAGACACAAATTTCACAGACCTGAAAACTACCTAGCTATCCCCTGTTGAAAGAAGCAATAGGATTATTATAACGTACAAAATAAAAAAAGTTCTTCTTGTGTTTGTTTGGTTAAAAAATGAAAAAAGGTTTCGCTGGGCTAACAACTTGTGCTTACAATATCTACATAGGAAAACTGAGAGAAAACCATAACAATTAAATAAGTTAAAACATACCAATGGTACTTCTTCCAATTTACAATAATTTCCAACTCTTTCTTCAAAGGAAACAGCACCCGTTGTATAAATTCCCTTCTTTTGAACTGGAAGAAAGTCTAAAGAAATCTACAAAGCTTATGCAACCATCAGTGTGTGTTAGCCTCTATTTTGGCTGCCCCGGAGGAAGAGGACTACCTCCCTAGGAACTACTACAGAAAGTTAAGGTCCTCCTCTGGCATTATTCCCCCCCCCCTTTGAAAGAAAGGGGCTTTGGTAGGCCCGAGCAGTCAGTCCCAGACAGAGCACGGCCTCCCACCGCCCACCCTACTCCCTAATAAAAGTCCCCCCCTTTTCGTCCTATTTAGGGACGAGGATGGTGCCAGAGCTATATTTGAAAAACGAGGTAAACAGCATGGATGGAGAGCAACAGCTGCCGAAGATTAATCGCACCCATTGAGAGAAAGCGGCTGGGTTGCGCAGCGACAGCCCCCTAAAAGGTGTGTGCGTGTTGTGTGTAGGGGGGAATCCTTCGCCGGTTTCGATTTGAAAGCAATCTCGGATCCGGGATCCAACCAGCAACCGGATCTTCCTTTTCCAATTCACAGCAGCTACTCCTTCTCCGCCCCAATAATCCCTCCTCTACTGTTTAAACGGGGTGGGGGGTGGGGGTGGGGGGAAGCAGCCCCGGCGGGATTACCCTGATCTTTGCAACGTTTTTGCCACTTTGTACCAAGCGGCAGGTTTTCTTTTCCACCCGGCGCGAGAATAAACTAAGGGGGCTGCCTCTGAACCTGGAAATCCAGCTCTGGGGAAAGAAAAAGAAAGAAACTGATCACCGCTGAATTCACTCGGCCTCTTGCTCTCGAGGCCCTCCCTTGCGCTTCGTCTCCGGCCCCGAGGAGCCAACTCTGGTGCTCTCTCTCACTCTCTCGCCCCCCCCCCCCCCCAGTTTCCTGCGGCGTCTATCAGCAAGTTCGGCAGAAATTGGAATCCCGGGTTTGGGTTCAGAAAAGAGCCGCCTCCTGCGCCGAGTGCATCTTAATAGTCACCCTAGCTTATTACTGGATTGATATTCAACCGCTTTCCCCATGCCAAAGCCTGGTCCCGGGTATAATCGCTGTCAGGGAGAGGAGTTCTTGAGCGGGCGCCCAAGCAAGCAAGCGGGTTGCAAAGCTTCAAACTACACCTCGGATGGAGCGCGCAAAGCCAGCAGATCGCCTCTTTCCCTGCAATTTCCCCCAGCAATTTTAGGCGGTCTGAGTGCGGATCTAGAAAAAGAGGCTGCAGCAGCGGCAGCGGGCTTAGCTTCTGATGCAGGTTCAACACGCGCACGCACACATAGAAATTGCAGGAGCAAATACACAGTTCCATCCAGACAGGCGAGAAGAAAAAAAAAAAAAGGGGGGGGGATAAATAACGCCTCGTGTTTTAATTTGCAGTGTTATACCTGGCAGGTTCCTGATGATTGGTTTTGCAAAACCATCCCATCTCTTCCTCCAAGCTGTCAGCATGAAACAGGCAAATATCAAGTCCACTTCGCTGGGCTGCAAACCACCGGCTTGCGTTGCGGAGATGGTGCTATTAAAATGGGAACGAAGCCCCTGACACTTACCTTTCTTCGGGGCGGGGGGGGGCGTTCCTTCTTAACTCCCCAGTTACAGAAGCTTCCCGGTTTTTAGCGCGGTCTCATTGCATCTCGTGGTATATTGTTGCCAGAATCTGCGGGGTGGGGAGGCGGGGGAATCTCCTTGACATGTCGAAGTTGCCTTGCCTTTGGCCGCTACGAGTCGGGAGAACGTAGGGAACTGCTTAGCTTTCGGCCGTGTACTGAGGAATTGGGAAGGGAGGGGGCTGCGAGCAAGGAGCCGGAGGAAGAGGAGGAGGAGGATGAAGAAGCAGAGCGTGGGGTGGTGGGGGAGGAAGGCAAGAGAGGGAAGTGACGACTTGCAATCCAAAGGATCGGCTGGGCTTTTCCCTTCCCCTCTCACACCACCCCCAGTTTCAGAGGTTTCCCAGCATCTCAGCACCAACCGGGGAAGCTCAGCGCCCGCCCGCTCGGCTTGTGGACGAGAGGTGGGCACAGCTCGCCTTGGGCACAACTGCAGCGAGGGAAGGAACCAAGTCAACACAGCCAATCTGCCAGCCTCTCCAAACTCCGCGTCACCCTGCCAGCCGGGAGCGAGAACTGCAAGCGAATTACAAGCCCTGCATATTTATCCTTCGCGATGCCGAGCGCGAGGAGGAGGAGGAGGAGGAGGAGGAGGAAGCCGACGGGGGAGGGAAGGCGCTTCGGATTCAAACGAGGACTTTGAAGCAAATCGCGAGGCTGGAAGCCACAGGCAAGCCCCTCGCTATAGGAGTCCGGCAATGGGCGGCCTTTCGGCCGCAGAGGGAAGGACAGGGAAGCGCTCGAGCTTGGTGGCTTCAACTCGGCCAGAGAAAACCCGAGAGGCCAGGGCGGGTTGGTGGGTGAGGAGCGGGCGCAGACGTGGCGAAACGTACTAGCTAGCCCGAGTCCTTTGCGTTTGCCAAGGACCTCCGGGAGACCTTAAATTAGCCTTTGGAAATTGCTTAGGAGAGTCCGCCTTGGCTGATGTGGCGTGGCAGCCTTGGGGAAGCCACCTGACCTGCTGGTCGAGCACAGAGGAGCGCATCCACTTAGGAGTCTTTCTTCACCATAGTCAAATAACTACTTGGGAGGCAGCGGGAATATTTGAAGGCTAAAAATAGGACGTGCCGCCTGGCAAATTACTGTTTGACTTTAGTAAGGAATGAGCTGGCTGGAAAATGTGGATTTGTTCAGCCTGGAAGAGGTTAACCTCTGAATGTTGGAACTGAGGGAAGCCAAGCAGAGAAGTTTCCTGACCCAGAATTGCCTCTCTGTATTTGTCAGAAGCAAGCATGGGGAAAGGAGCTTGAAGAAATCTGGCCTAGCAATTCTTCAATGGTGCTTTTTATAGGGTAACCTCCTCTGATGTGATGCCTTCTAAATGTAATGGACTACAGCACCCATCATCCTTTTGCTGTTCCACGGGAGCATATTCCGCTGCCCTTTAGAATAAATGAGAGATGTGCACACAACACCCAGACTTAGGTTTTTGCAATAATTCACCAGGCTAGTTTTAAGATGAAGTGCCCTAATTTTATTTTGCTTTGTAAACTGCAGTGAGCATTATAGAGAGTCTGGTGAGCCAAGCATTTCTGTAAAGCTTGTTTCTGAACAACCTCTATATATTTTCAATCATCAGGAGATATATTACATTTGCCAGAGACTGATTGTCTCTGATGAATCCTAAACCACTCTGTGAACAGCATTCAAGACCATTTTTATGGCCCAAAACCTCTTGCTAAATTTGGAGAAAGAGGCTGAACCCCCCAGGGAGTAGAGCACTTAGACCCCAAAGTGTACTGCTAGAACAATCTCAGCCACTTCAAGATATGTGGAGTTCAACTTCCAGAATCCCCCAGCAAGAATATTGGAAAATTCTGGGTTGAATTCCACACATATTAAAGTGGCTGAGATTGAAAAACACTGTACTGTAGTGAGAAACAGGCTTACTTCTAAGTAAAAAAAAAAAACTTGCTCAAGAGTAGGATTTTATTCATAGGAAGGATTAGTTCCAGTTGAAGCCATGGTGAGATATCAGGAATCTTGGTTTTACAAGTTCTTCTTTCCTAGCAGCCAATGCAAGAGCTGCTTCACTATATTTCTGATTATTCCTGGATTCATTATAGCCTCAGATCCTGAGCCGCCTCAAAACACTGCTTTTGAACTATGAGCTATGATGCTTCTGTCTGAACTCTAGGTTTGCATACTGTTGTTAAGTTTTAGATGGACTGCATTCCTAATCTAGTGGCTAGCTTGATTGCAACTATTTTACACTGCCTAAGATAAGGTACTAAAGAGTTACAGGTTGTCAGTAAGTTAAGAAGAATGTCCTGTTTTACTTAATTCATCTCTGCCACCCACTAAAGTATGATGAATTACTCCCATGTATCACAGGGAGGCATTAACAGAAGAGATGCGCTGTAGGAAGGATTGAAAGAAAATAAGACAGGTGGTAACATGCAGCTGCTCTGGGAGGTACCTTCCAGTATACGGAGAAAGTATATGAAGCAGCAAAGGTCAAATGGCAAATTTCACAACAGAAGGTCAATTAAATTGGTGAGGTTTCTGTATTTTGCCCACTTAGCATCCGTTGGTCATTTTAGGTGGGTGCAAACATGTTTCCTTCCCGTCCTTGGATCATCCTCCATGGCCACTTTGATTGCACAGGGACAAAGATTGGAACTTTCAATCTAGTGCAGTGTTTCTCAACCTTGACAATTTTAAGGCATGTGGACTTCAACTCCCAGAATTCCACAGCCAGCATTCCAATGCTGGCTGTGGAATTCTGGGAGTTGAAGTCCACATGCCTTAAAATTGTCAAGGTTGAGAAACACTGATCTAGTGCCTTTGCCTGCACAAGGAGGTCAAATGAAGGTCAAAGTATAAATATTGGGGAAAGCTCAGTGGTGGAAGAACTGACACTTTCTAATTACTCCTGTGTTCCCATTAGCCAAAGAAGAAATGGATGGATATTTCACTTCCGTTTTCCCACCATTTCTCCCCTGTTTTAATATTTCCCCTGCCATTGATTTTGTTCCATCGTTTCTCCATCCTTTCTTCTATACTTTTTTTTTAACCACCATTGGTTGGTCAGTTATAGAAGACAATCTTCTATAGGAAGGACCTGTATAAGGAAGACCTCTAAGCAGATCTTTTCCCAAAGGAAATCTTTTCACGAAAGGAAAAGCACAGTATATTCTTTTGAAGTCCTGGTGGTGCAGTGGTTAGAATGCAGTATTGCAAGCAAACTCTGCTCACAGCCTGGAGTTCAATCCTGATGGGGCTCAAACTTGATTCAGCTTTCCATCCTTCTGAGATCGGTAAAAAAGGGGGACTCATATTATTGGGGGCAATATGCACACAGAGAGTGCTGTAAAGCACTATGGGGTGGTATATAAGCCTAAATGCTACTGTTGTGCTATTGCTTTTTGGTCTATGACTGTACATTCTTTAATCAATTAAACACAATATATTATGATCAATGCTGACTTTTCAGACTATAGGACAGTATCTTAAAAAGCTTTTTACCTATGCTTGTGTTGTAGAATTCCTAATCCTAGTTTCACAGTAAATTTTATTAAGCTTCACAGTTTTGCAATATCCCTATCATGACAAAGTGACAAAGCCATTAACAGTTTGTTATGTGGAGAGCAAAGGTAACATAAAAATGTGCCAGTGTTCTAGACAGGGCATAATTTACACTTAATATTATTTATTGATTTGTCTCCTGGAACCTCTCTTGGAAGTTTGTTTATTATCTATCAAATGTATATTTCCAAATCTATATTAATTGATACATTTAGTCACAAGACACTGTATAACAAATATCAATAAAACAATTCTATGTAATGTCTTATTTTGAATGTTTTCAAATAAGGCTTCTTAAAACTTTAGACTTATTTTTAAGCATGTTAGATAATTTTGCACTGCATTTAGGCTATAAAACTCATTTGGGCTCCAACCCTATTTAACTTGGGTGTCAAAAAATAACACCCTGAACAAAATTTCATTAGCGCTCAATTCCAAGAAGGCCATTTGTCTTCTCTACAAAGGCTGTATGTTTTATTCCTGTGTAAATAGAGAATAGAGGGGGTTTTTTCCCCTAGATTGTTATTTACAAAACAACTGCAAGCTGCTCCAATTAAAACAAGCAGTTTTAGATGTTGCAAGCAGCAGGCTGAACCAGTCTAAACAGTCACACCTGGTTAGTATTTGGATGAAAAAAACTCCAGCCAAGAACCAGAACTATGCCGGGAAATGGGAAAAGGAAAACAGACCTTGGAAAAAGGCAATAATAAACCACTTGCGTATTGTTGCCAAGAAAACAACGTGATCATGTCCATGAAGTTTCTAAGCAAGTGTTTCTTAAATCTTGGCAGCCTCCTCCTACTTTCCCCACAACAGCCCTGTGAGGTAGGTTGGACTGGGAGAGAGTGACTGGCCCGAAGTCGCACCCAGCCAGTTTTCATGCCTAAGTCACAGTCTTCCCGTTTCTAGCCTGGTGCCTTAAGTCTTAAAGGTTGAGAAGCCTTGCTCTAGCAATCTTTCTAGTCTGCATAGACTGAATATTGCTTAAATCAGGGGTAGGCAATCTTGGCTCTTTCATAAAAGAGTCAAGGTTGCCTACCCCGGCTCAGATCAAAGATATTCTATCAAAGGCTTTTTTTTATTGCTGCTATTGTACTTATTTGGGTTTTTACTTTTTTCTTAAAGGGCTTAATAACACAATGTACCTTAGAATACATTTCTCTATTATCCAAATATTTTTCAATGCTGTCAAATGCTTAGTTCATTATTAAGGTAACAAAAACGAGAAAAAGACTAAATGATAGCCTTTTTGATAATAGCTCTCTCTCTCTCTTTTCATAGAAGTTGTGTAACACATATCCGTGCCTAAGTTACTGTTTTTTAGAACAGTGGTTCTCAACCTTTCTAATGCCATGACCCCATAATACAGTTCCCCAAGTTGTGGTGACCCCCAACCACTTATACATCACCGGGTGCCAGGGGCGTGGCCAAAGAAAAGGGGGAAAAATGGCGGACAGCCTTGTTTGGCGACCCCCGTGAAATGGTCGTTCGACCCCAAATGGGGTCCCGACCCACAGGTTGAGAACCACTGTTTTAGAAGAAAGCCTGAAGAGTTGAACCAGTGACAGCAAAAGATTAACTTCAAAATTTGTGTTGATTAAAAACAATTAAGCAGCCTTAGATAATACCTACCAAATTGTTCTTAAAGAACTTACTGATCTTCTAATAAAATATATATAACATGTCCCTAACTTCATCAAGTGACCCAGAAGTCTATAAAATAGCCAGTATACTGCTAGTTTTAAAAATGAGGTCCGGAAGATTATATATTACATATTTTACAGTCTATTCTGGGTGAATTAATAAAAATTACAAGTGAAGAAAAATGGATGAATGTATATACAGGTAGCCCTCAACATAGGAGTGTAATTGAGCCCAGAGATGATCAAAAGCCATGCCAGTTGTTAAGCAGGTCACTATATTACCGTCATACAACAACAACAATTCACTTCCATAATGTTCCAACCTCTCTTGGCTAATAAAGCCAAGCACTGCAAGAATATATCTCCCAGGACATAAAGGCTCAAATAAGTAGACTTATTGTAGTAAAACTATAAAGTCATTGTGAATAAATTTCAGGTAAGGCTATGTATCAAATGTAAGCTTAAGTAGTAATTCAATATTCAGATTTCCCACACTCCTCTCTCTTCTGACCATTCTAAGTAAAAGGCTAGAAGTAAAACTTTTTTTGAATGGGAGAAACAGTTTGCACCTGTTCCTTATTTT